TAATATTCGATTGCTGTATTGTTGATTTTGGCTGTCAACACTCGTCAACGTATCCAGTAAATAGTACATGCTACAGAATAAGAAATCGATTTGAACTGTGAAGTGAAATGAGACGAAGTGAATGAGAAAAACTCATCAAGAGAACGATTCTCGCAGGTAATAGCTATGAGAGTGAATACAACACGTCTGAAAAGAATGAGAATCCATTCAAGTCAACTTGAAGTGAGCGTGTCAGAGACAATAGCTTTTCACGCAATCATAATCCATTGAAATAATGACAAAACAATGGTCTAGGACAGTGGTTCTCATAAGGAGTGAAATTACCCGTTTCGGGCAATTTGGGGATATCGGGAGTGGGTAATAAAGGGGCTCAGGAAATCAGTAGTATTTCGTGCAATTGTTATTTCCTTTCCGATTAATCGAATGTTAGCATAGAACTGAAAATTCCTCTTTTCAGCAACAATAATTTCACTTTGAGTCACCACAGCAGAGAACCACTTGGCAAAGGATCCACCAACCCGTTAAGCTCACTGTAATCTGTAAGGATGTTTTCGGCAAACTATGCATGCATGGTGTATAAAAAATTTAGAAATGTAGTATTAACCAGTTGTGTCACACTCATGGTAGAGTTAGTTTGTTGAATGATCTGTGCTTTTTGCCATGATCTATGAGTATTCTTTTGGGTTAGATTCCTCTCGAAATAAACATTCTTCAAATTATCATCACTTCCATGACGAAAGAGTTCGAACACAACGAACATATTGATACCACGTGTTAGCTTGAATACGCCGGTTCTGCGCATTCTAGGGCACGGTGGAACACATCTGAAGCAATAAACTGCTCTAATGTGTCGATGTGCAGTTTTTGAAGAACAACATTGAATCGGAACCACATTTTAATTGTTCAGACAAGTTTCTTGCATGAATTTACTCTGAAATTCATGTGAACAGTAGTTGAGCACCATATATGCTTGTTTTTTGTGTAATTCTTGTCATGATACAAAATAATAAGAAGCTTTTCATGCTTCCTAATGATTTGATTGAATGAACAGGTAAAAAGAAATGAATCAACCTAAACATTAATGTAGACTTGGTTCCAGCAATTGGCGTGTTTGCAATATAATAAGGAAACTCAAAACTGTCATCCTTGGCTGTGCTGCTACCAGAGTGCGATTGCGTTGAATATATGGTCTGAGTACTTGATTCGCTTTCTGTGGTCAACTCGGACAAATCATGAGTAGAAAAACGATGATGATGAGAGGTGGAATATATGAATCCACTTGTACTATCCTCAACGTTACTACTGTGGTAATTCTTGCCCTTACTTGATGAACCTTCATCAGTGGACTCATGCGAATGAGTTTCCTCTAACGGATAGTTCCCGTCGAGTGGGTCTGATGAGCTGGTCGTACTGCTCGATAATGCTTTTGAGGTGGTAGTCGTATATTTGCCACTGCTGTAATCGATAGCATCCTTGCTTGTTGAGACGGTTTCTGTCGGCTTAGGAATTCGATGTTCGATAGTTGTGAACTGACCACTACCTGAATAGGGTTTACAAAATCTCGACGTTTTCTCAATCCCGGGATCGGGATTTAACCCCGGGATCGATTTTTTATCCCGGGATGGAACAATTTTTTAAATATCGGTGCGGGACATGTTTAAACACATTTTTTTTCGAACCAATACGCTCAATATTAATCAGAAAGGAGTTAATTCATCAAATTATTGAACAAATCCAAGGAAATATNTCATATAATGGTGCTAATGATCATGCCGCAAGGGCATGCTGCATATTCTATGCTAAGGCATCTTGTCATCTCGGATATAAGCTAATCACAGTACACTTGCATGTAATTATGAAATTCATGGTTCTCAAACACTTATTTGCAATGCATCAAGTCTATTTTAGTTGTAGTATTAACGTCAGCTGAATTCTGCCGTTTCAGAAATTTCGATTTTATACGGAGGAAATGCACCGCATGTATTATATTATTTGAATTTTGAAATGATTAAAAAATCGAACTCTATCTAAAGCGGTAAAAAATATCCGCAATGGATTTTCGTCGAACCATCGAGCACTTACATATTTGATAATTTCGATCAAAAATCATGCAAATATACTTGATATTCAAGCGTAAGATCCTTTTGAATGGAACAGTTTTGCTCACTCCGACAATGAAATCTCACTATGAGTGAAGTCAGTGAGAATTTACGTACATTTCGATCATATGAAAATGTTTCCAAATAGCGAAGTAAAAAGACTTGCAGTCTTTGGAAGATGCAGTGGAAAAACAGATGAAATATTAAAGCCGAACAAATCGCGTAGGAGGAAACGACTCAAAATTTCGTTGAACTTTGTTGCTCTTAGTTTTTATTAGAAAATGTGATTATCTCTGTTAGTCTACACAGAAATGCATCCAAATGAGCGTGGCATAAACCAATGAAAAGTAGTTGAATATTCAATGAAATGTTACGTAAAAGTTCATCGAGCTGTCGATGATCATGTCNTTCGTCCGAACTGCGTCTTTTCGTTAGATATTCATCAATGATAGAGGGCAAACAGCAAAGATGACTGCATATGAATTAGATGGGAATGATTGCTTAAAGATGGGCATACAATTAACATTCACACAAATTGACCTGTTTTATCAAATCCTGAAATCCAGGGATTTTTCAAAACTTAAATCCCGGGGTCGGGATGAGAACTGAAATCCCGGCATCCCGTGCAAACCCTATACCTGAATGATTACCTCGGCTGCCTCTTCTATGATGTCCAGCATTATCATTTTCTCCTTCAAAATTCTTTTTGAAACGCTCACTTTATAACCACCGAACTCTTTCGGATATTCTGTCGCCGTAACGGCAATTATTGTCGATTCCTTACCATGTTCACTCATTGTGGTCGATGATAAGAGGTGGGAATATTGCGCGGAACTCTCCATTCCATAACTCAGATCGTGCCCTGAGTGACTAGTTTCAAAATGCAATGCTTCGATCGGTGAACTGGTTGCTTCTTTTACGTATGTTGAATAAGGATGACTGCTATATCTTGTCGTAGTACCGATTATTACGGTTGTGTTGATGAGATATTCCATAGAATTTTCGTCCCATTCTTGGTGTGGTTGAGTTGTTGTATGATCTCTCTCAATCAAATCCTTTCGTGTTGATTCATGAGATGACTGGGATGAGAGCGCTGTTGCTAAATATGTGATTGCTTCAGTTCCGTTTTGAGTCGTACTAGTTTGTTGCAATTGAGTGACTACTCCAGAATCCGAAACGGTGATTCCATCATTTTCATTTCCATTTTCGGTTACTTGAGTAGTTGTACGATCATCATACGCTCCTCGAGACCCATTTACACTTACTGACGAGTATTCATGGCTTGTTTGCTGAGTGGAAGGACTTTTGGAGTACCTTGTTGTTCTCATTTCAGTGAGGCTCACAGTAGTTGCATGTTCATATTGATCACCGTGGTCAGTAGTCGTTGCACGCTCAGCTATATTGCTCGAACGGTCCTGATCAGTTGTTTTATGCGTATTCTCTTTATTCTCATTATCAGTCGTACTACTTCGTCGCAATGATGTGATTTCAGAATCCAAATTTACGGTTGTTTCGTTATCGTTTGCTGTTCTATCAGTGTGATCTGTATAGGCTCTTGAGGAGCTCGCTTCGTTTCCTGATAGATGTTCGGAACTCATTTCTTGAACGGATAGAGTTGGCGAGAACATTTCTTCGTCCACTTTACTGACTGTAGAACTAACTGTGTGCTCGCAGTGATCAGCACAGTCAGTAGCTGTTCCAGGATCAGTCATGGTGCTTGAATCGTTGTCATCAAAAGAATGAAGAGTACGTTCGTGAGGGGTTGATTCTGAATGAAGGGTTGATTCTGAATGAGGGGTTGATTCTGAATGAGGGGTTGATTCTGAATGAGGGGTTGATTCTGAATGAGGGGTTGATTCTGAATGAGGGGTTGATTCTGAATGAGGGGTTGATTCTGAATGAGGGGTTGATTCTGAATGAGGGGTTGATTCTGAATGAGGGGTTGATTCTGAATGAGGGGTTGATTCTGAATGAGGGGTTGATTCTGAAACTGCATTCGGCTCCGATGTTGCCGAAGAGGATATAGTCGGTCTTCGATGAGTGACATAATCCGATGACTGAGATTGAACAGAGTGATGGTACTGTTCGTTGGTTTCTCTGATGGTTTCAGATGTTGTCATCACATCCTGAAAGCGGCGTTTTAGTGAAGTGGTTGCAGTGCTTTCATCAACGCCTCTGGAGATCGAAGTCGACCGCCCTTCACTCGTTTCCATGGTACTTTTCAGGTGAGTTGCAGTCGAGTATTCTGATCCTTTCACATCACTCGGAGTGATAAAGCTTTTTTCATCAGTTGTAGTGCTAGTCGAGAAAGTTCTATCATCCTCGGTTCCTCTTTTATGATCTTTGGATGTTGTGCGATCAATATCATTGTGATCATTCGATGTTATTTCCCTATTTCGAGTTGCAGTCTCCTTTACAGCTGTTGTTGGAGTGATTTTGTAATGGTGCTCACTAGATGATGTCTTTGCATAGTGATCCGTCGACAAACCAGTCTCAGTGGTCTTTCCACTCTCATCATTCCTTTCGCTACTTTTATATGCTCCGGAACTGCTTTGGAATGTGGATTCCTCACGATACGATTGCGTTGCTGATTCAGAAGCAGAAGACTGCAGAAGTATTGGAATGGTTGTTGTTATTATCGACTCCGCTGATGATTCTTCGCCTAGTTCTTCTTTCCTTCTCATTGTTGTTGTTGTTGTTGCTGTTACGTCACCCGTCACAGATGTCAATTTCTTGAGCACAGTTGTTTCGCTAGATGGTTCATTGGACGTTTTGATGGAGGTTTTCACCCCTACAGTGGATAGTTCGGTACTTCGCTCTTCCGAGGTCATAGCAACAGAATTATCGCTGATCCTCTGTTCAGTTGTTGCTGATGTTAAGAGAGCCTGTGAAGATGTGAAAGCTTTCGACGTTGAAAATAGTGATGTATTAAGAGCGTTCACTGTTGTTGCAGTGTTGTGAGCGTTTCTTGTTACATTTACGCATATAGTTTCTGATCTCGAACTGGAATGATGTTGAAATGTTGTCGTTTCCTTAGAATCTTTCGTGCTGCTGTACTTATCTTTCGCGGTTGCAGTGGTGAATTCTCGAACCTCTGATGTGGATATCTCACGCTGTAGAGTTGAAGATGGAGCTCGTTTGGATGTCAACGTAGGTATGCTCATGCTATTAGTAACACTACTTGATGCCGTCGATTGTTTAGTATTTCCACTAGATAATGTAATGGTTGAGAGATGTGCTCTCGTGGCTGTCGATGAAAGGCCGATGGGAGACGTTTCCTTCGCTAGAATTTCAGTAGACACTGTTACAGAAGTTTCAGAAGGAACTAGAGAAGAAGTCGGTTCTCGCGTACTTCCGGAAGGATTTTGAGTAGAGGTGGCTTGAGTAGAAAATTTTTCCGAGGTTTTAGAAGAGGTGTGAGGAAGAGACTCCTTGAAAGTTGTTGAGAGAATCTGAGGTGGGGATGTTGTGGTAATTGCGGAAGAAGTCCGAACGGGCGTTCTAGAGGTCGTTTGAAAAGTATCTGAACTGCTCTGAGTGACAGTATAATTCATAACTGTGGTTGAAACTTGAGTAGATGGAAGACTGGCAACTGTTGAAAGAAGCTGAGGAGTAGAAACATCAGTGGTTTCTGAATGAATCTTGGTGGAAAAAGGTTTTTCGGTCAGAAAAGGAGTTGTCTTATGAGATGTGAGAGGAGTCTCAGTGGAATATGTCTCAGTGGAAGAAGGAGATGTGAGAGGAGTCTCAGTGGATGATGCCTCTGTGCTTGTCGAGATAGCTTGAATGGCGGGTGTCGTATGAGAAACACTTAAGGAGCGTGACATTGTAGTTGCGGAAGAACTCTGAGTGGGTGAAGTTTTCTTGGTTGTGAGCTGAGTTTGAGTGGAAGAACTTTTCGTAGTTGTGGGAGAAGACTTGTTAGGGGAAGTTGTGAGTGCCGTTGTCTTAGGAGAACGTTCAGTCGTAGTTTCTTGGACTGATGTAGACAGTTGATGGTCAGCTGTAGTGGATGTTGCTGTAATTGTGGAAGAAATTTGCACTGATGATTTGAGACTTGTTCTATGTAAGGTTAGCGTGGAAGACATTTGAGTGGTCATGGGATTACTCTCTGTGGTAGATCTTCTGGTGCTCGTAGATGGTATGGCAGCACTGCTGGTGCACGTTTGACAGGTAGCCGTGCTTGAAACAAGCGACGATGCACTGCTCGTTTTTAAAGGAAATTCTGTGACTTTAGCAGTATGCGAAGGAGAAATCGTCGCTGGCGCTATCGTAGTAGTTGTTGGATTGAATAACGTAAGAGTAGTCGTGGAGGGTGTTTGGGATTGTCGATTGGTTTCTGATGAAGTTTGTGGTGATGAGGTTCGCGAAGTGATGTGAGCAGTTGTTGTGGAGGATGCAGCTGTGGTTGTAGGCGGAATCCGAATGGATGTGGATGTACTGCTGACGGTTGTGGTTGGCTCAAGACAATCATCAATCCGAATTGGCACTGGCGTGGTAATCAATTCGGAAGTATGTGCAACCGTTTTGCTGGTCGTTGCAGCAGTGCTCATTGAATCTGTAGTGGAGACAGTCTTTTCGTTCGATGAAGGGGATGGAGTGTTCGAAGTCGCAAGGGTGGATGTTGGTTTTGGGGTTGCTGAGGATGTGGACAATGTGATGGTGGTGGGTGTCGTTCTTGTAGATGTGGTTTCCGTAGTTGTAGATGGTGTAATGGTGGATGTCATTCTTGTAGATGTGGTTTCTGTGGTTGTAGATGGTGTAATGGTGGATGTCATTCTTGTAGATGTGGTTTCTGTAGTTGTAGATGGTGTAATGGTGGATGTCGTTCTTGTGGAAGTCAGAGCAGTAGTGGTTGCAGTTGGCGATGTAGTGGGAGCAGTTGGCGATGTAGTGGGAGCCAAAGTGGTTGGTGGTATACAGTTTTCGATGCGAATATGAGGTGCAGAGGTGGTTGATTGAACCAGATGCGTTGTGGTTATGAGAGTAGTCATAGGAGGTGTGGATACGGATGTTGATCTGATTGTGAGAGTAGTCGTTGGTTGTGAGGATGTGGGAATGATTGGTTGCCAACATTTGGTGATCGCAACACCGCTCGATTCGCTTCTTTTTACTCGTAAAAGGGGGTCCGGTATAACCAAACTGCGACGACGACGTTTCAGTATCGATGATTTCAGAACAATTTCAGGCATTTCATATTCAACATCAAGTCCAATTTCAGCATAATCCCCATCTTTTATCCTCACCTTACTCGGCCCGCTCTGAAATTCAGCTTGCTATAACAAAAAAAAACTGAACCAATTTAAGATCATTATGTAGTCAAACCGTGCACATAAATTGCGTTCACTAGTTCACTACAAATCAAGATAAGCCTACTGAGGTCACAAAAATTTTGTATTAATAAAAGAAACCAACGAGAACGTTGAATATGTAGCTGATTTTCTCAAATTGTCCAATACTTTTATAAGCTATGGCAAACGGTCGTCGGTGCATTTAACTTACGAATAAAATATCTGGACTAATGAAGGTTATTTCAACCACTTCAACAATCAATGCATCAACAAATTTCTCATTGATTATAAAGTACATTCGAAGAACGGCACCTTATCAAAAGTAATTCTCAATAGTCCCTTTGCCGAAACAGTCGTTTCTTCTTCGTCATTAGTAATCACCAGAAATTTCGGCAACTTCTCTGTAAACATTATGCATTGCAAACAAAAAAACAACCATAAAGTTTTATGCTCTCCAAAACATGCAATAATAAAGATTTTGTTATTATTAGTACGCAATCATGCTCTATTAGTAGTTAGGAAATGAGAGTGCAGGAAATCATAGACCGAAGAGTCAGTTCATGGTTTAACTCGTCAGAACTTGTGTTCACAAGCATACACACAGACGTTGGATATTAACTGCAGTCAGATGTGTTTCTAAAATTGTAGTTCATTGAATATTGAATAAGATCAACATGCGAATATGAAAATTAGGAGGGAACTACTTTTTCGAATACATCCCGATTCAGGAATTGAACTGTCGCTTCTCCATAAGGAAGTGTTCTTATAGATGACACCGAATGCGTCTGTCATGAACGTTGTGCCTAAAGGACATTCAAGTTCTGAATGTTTCAGCATCCGTTCGTCAAAGCCATTTTGCATCCACGTTGAACCATCACAGTGCGGTACTGAAACCAGCTTCATTGATTGCTTTTCGCTCACTCTGATTATGCCAGTGGCGTGCCAGAGAAGCACGGAATGGGACGGTGCACTACCCGTACCCCTGACGGTTGGAAGAAAAGGGAAATTGGATGGAAAAAAAGAAGGAAAAATAGGAGAGAGAGAGAAGGAAGTGCGAAAAAGAAGCGAGAAAAGAAGGGATGGAAGGGAAAATGAACGAAAATAAACGGAGGAAAACCAGCCTCAAAATTCAGCCATTTTTCTGGACCGAACCATTTTGTACCCACCCCCTCCCTCTCCCCATGGTCACGCCACTGGACCGTGCGTAAATCCTTTCGAAAGCAAGGCATTTTGTAACGATAAAATGCAACGTGATTTTAAAACATTCAGTGCTTCTTCGCAGTGCTTTCTTTGATGATAGCCCTGTTTTTGAAACGATGTAGTAACCAGTATCCACCACTTGATCACAACTTTTACGAAACCAGTCAGCAATTTTTTGAAAAAAAAGCAAAAAAATAGAAACGAACTGAGCTATTTGTGGGATAATGTTTCATAAGCAACTCACTAGCAGCTCTGTAGGTGTACAGTATGTTAACGGTGAATTCATTTGAAACGTCGTATTCAGCTGAAGTGGATACGAAGGGATGAGTGATGTTATCGAATGGGTTTTTGAATGCGATATACTCCATTTTGACTGACTCGACGGGACATAGTCCGTAAATCTTCAAATTTCAGAAATCCATTGGCAAACCTTCTGGTTTTGAGAAACACATAATCATGGTGTCTCTTGAATGATTTGAATCGTGATCCAAAAAAAACAAAAGACTCATTCCGTTCCATCACTATTCTATGACTTTTAAAAGCCCACCGATATGCTGGAGCTTCGGAGATCATCCGCTGTGTTATTCAGGTGAACTTCGATAACATTTTCACCTTGACTGATAGGAACATAGAACATTTTCATTCCATTTGCAGATTCCAGATAGACATGATTATTGAAGAGTGCGTAGGTCTTGTTATCTAGAACAGATAATAATCTATGCGCATCTAAACTAAGTGTGTTTGTTATCAGCCTCAAGGACCGAACACGAATCAGTGAGAGATTGCCAGCAACACATCGAATTTACGTCGTGTTGATAAATATCGTTATTACTATTAATAATAACAAATTTCGATAAAGTTTTGAAATTTAGTCCATTAAGCAGTGATATAAGCTTATGATAACTTTGAAGCTTACCATCTACGTAAACGGTTACCAGTGCAACTGTAGTTGAGTCAGTAGCAAGCAAATAAGATGTTTTCTCCGACGTCAAAGTCAACGAACTTGACGATGCGATGAAAATCTGCAAATATCTAGGAATTCACAAGAAACGTCTATTTATGTCATATTCTCCATTCAACAGTTTGAACTTCCTCCCACTGTCATTGGAAAACATTGGGCTACCTCTGCAATGTCACACTCCATTTGGAATCAGCTAACAATGCGACAGTTTTGGCAACTTTGATCAAGTGACCGTGAGACTGATCAGGGGAAATCTTAGACAGTAGCAGAAATGCGGTTTATCCAATAAATGCGTGTTTAGTTAGAAACTGCAAGCTTTCCGAGCGAACACCCCGCAGCGCCTCGCTGATAAAGGATGGGAAAGTGAATCGCATCTGGTGAATGCTGAATGGAAACATATTGCATAGAAATTCACATTATTCAAGTAGCCATCCGAAACATTTCTTCTTCCCATTGCAAATTTAACACTCAAGGAACCCAAAAAATTGGCAAAATGATTTACTTCCATTCTTACCGTGGTCAATAGGGTTAACCACCAAACATATTCCCTACTCACTGAGTTCGCTTCCATTTGGATTTGTACCGTTTAAGAGCGATCTAAAAGACCTATGGAACACAACATGTGGTGCTGACAAAACTGAAACTGTATGAAACTGAAACGCTTAAGAAGAAACGATGGAAAATAGCTTATCGGAGAAATTGAACGCAATCAAGGTAACCACCGGCAACGCGCATGACAACCTCTGAAATGCTTTTAGCAGTCGCATGGTTACATTTAAGAACTGCAGTTTGAAAAAGACATTAACTGACGGCTCAATTAATCGCTAGGTTGCCAGACTGGAAGAAAAATGTCAATGTGCTCATGGAGACGGTGGTAGCCATGCATCAGACATGATTCTGGCCTGTAACCGCAAAAAATCTTGCTTAACAAAACATTCGATTCAGACATAAACCTCTGTTCATGAAATTATTGCTTCACTATGGAAATATAATGCGCAGTATTTTCAAGATTTTCGCAAGCTCAACTTGCCAAGCCAATCAGTAGGCCAACCAGAAGCCCTACTCAATGCATTAATACACCAGTATAAGGTCTACGATGTTCAGATCAACGGAACTCACAACTTTGCCCAGGAACATATCAATTTCTTTCGACTGTTCGATTCCCCAAAACCTCCAGATTCAGAAAAACATACACCTAACCGAGCAGTAAGGATCACTGAGGAGACATAGCTGTTTTCTCAATCCTATAGGGGTTGCTGCATTCGAGCCTACCGTACTCTCAGCTTCGCACAGTAACATACGAATTTCTTCACACCAATCGATC